GCTTTTATTACCGGTGGCGGTTTGAAACCTATCCAGTATCAAATCAACGTGTATCAGCATATTTACAGATAAAGACAATCTGTGAGCAATTCTGATCACATTGCTACCATCAAGCTGTTGATCGCAAAATTGTGAATCTTTACCCTCCTTGGCTCCTTATATATATATATATATCCTTGGCTATATATATATATCTTAGAAGGATATTGTGATAGTATATTAAAACGTAATACTTTTTTTTAATTAAATGTACTGCAACTAAAATTATTTTAAATGAAATTTTTTTTCTTCTAGTATTAAAATTTGTTACCTACAACTTGAAATTAATATTCGAAAATTCTATTATAGTTAAAAATAAAAACGAAATGCAATATTGGAAATGTTTTGAATGGCAGCAACGTTAACATCGTAGAAAATAATACTTAATCATTATCTAATATTATTATGAAAAATTATATTTGTTTTAATTTATTTTTTATTTAGAATCATAGGTTCAAGTGCAAAAATTCGAAAAATTTCCAGAAAAAAATTACGTTTGGTTCCCACATTACCTAAATTATTAATTTAATAATCTTATCCGATTACTTATTTTTAACATTAATAAAAGTTTGACTTTTACAACAAAGAAAATTTATTAACAAATAGAATACCATATAAAATTTATTATAATACCATATTATATAATTTTATTGTAATACCATATAACTTTTTATAAAGCATACACAATGTAATTTACAAAGTCGATAATAAAACGCAAGATTTTTGGAGTGACATTTGACCCAAAAGTAGAAATAAATAATTAAAAAAAATCCTATTTCTTTCTCATGAAGATCCAAACGAGTCAATCATTGCTTCAGGTAAAAACCCTCAACCTATTGTCAAGTGTTTCTTAAACAAGATAGAAAGTAAAATTATTCCGATTCATCAATCATTGACATAAAGTGACACATCGTGACATCGTCATACATCATTAAGGACTTCCTCGGAAATTGGCTGTGACAAAAGAGATAGACATCCTTATGGTTAAAGTATTGATCTGTTTAATATACAACAGAAGACACAATTACGTTCATTAAAGTTTTGACAAGATGAACTGCGTTTAAGTTGTATACTCATGGATAATAAAACAGAGATCCGTCTGAACGGTAGCACAGTTTTATTTTCATAATTGTTTCTAATCATCAGCAATGTTATGTTAAGATTTTTTGGAGCATTATTATATCTTATAATAACTAGAAGTGATACTTATTAATTTATCAAGCATATGTATCACATTAAAGATTTTATCATTTGTCGTTGCTTAATAATAATAACAGGCATGTTTTTCTTTTCACAACTGTTAAACTCACTTAGATTAAATAATCCGAGAGTATTTCTTTTATAACGTTATCTGTAATTTATTATTTATAGTCAAATTATAATTTAACTTTATTGTACATTTATAATACAATTAAGAAAAATCATAATCTTTCCAATAATTAATTTGTTTTAAGTAATTATCTTGATAAATAGGGACACACATAATTCTACAAGATAAAGAACACGGTATATTACGCTTTTTCTCTTAAAAATAATGACATTTTTTATCACTATAATGTGCTTTATGTCTAGTATAAAGAATATGCTTAAAATTGAATTTCACAGATTATAACTGAAATAAAATTTCCCTTGAATTTTCAATCTCTTTCTTTCAAACTTTGAATGTTGCTAATTTATTTTACACACCATAGAATCATTTGCATATGCATGTAATTATAGATAACCTATAGTCCAAAACTAATTAAAGTTTCAAAATACAAAAGATTATCCAGATGTCAAAAGTGACTTACTCAAAAAATATTGTTAATTTTTAAGTTTTTTAACATAATTTATTTTGAGCAGTTATCTGCCATAATAAAGAAAAATGTATACTTTTGTAAAATAAATAATGAGCAAAATCAGCTAAATTTTAAACTCTTATACTATTTTGCTTAATAATGTCCTTTTTTAAAAAAAAGTTTAAAGAAAAGTTAATTTCTACTTATTTTGAAATCGTAACAATTTGGAGAATCAACAATCGCAAGAATTTACAGAAAGATGCAATTCTCGTTCTGATTATTTCATTAAAGGGCTTATTAATTCATTATTAGTCTTGTAAAAAGAATCTAAAAAAAAAAAATGCTTTAGCAAAAGCTTGAAAACTTTTCTATTTTAGTATTTTTAAATAGTCTTAGTAATTTGGTAAAAATGCTATCGTAGCAGAAACCTAACTTAGATAATGTTAAAAATTCTTGTGTGACAATGTTAAAGATTTTATTTATTTATTTTTCTTTTAAAAGAAAATTAATAAAAATTAATAACTTTTTCTGTTCAATCACTCAATATTATAACTGCACAGCACTTTGGGTACCGCTGAAACTTTTTTTAATCTTTCATCATTAAATATGTTTAATCAGTAATACTTACCATCGAAAACATTTTTTAATTTATTTTACAGCAATGTAACGTAAGATACCTAATTTGGAGTTGAAATAATTTATGAGAAAATATTTCATGACACACTTATGTTTTACTTGAGGCTGTTTGGAGTTTTAATAAAAGTTTTTAACTTGTATCTAAAGGGGGACCCCATTCTGTTAATCTGCAGGTGGTCGATTGTTGACTCGTGTGGCGAAACTAGCAGCATAAAAACGTCAGTTTTTGTAGTCCTAAGAATAATGTATGTTGCAATCAATCATGAGCTATTTTGACTTAAAGGTGATGTTAGAAAAGGTATTCGAGAGGAGATGATAAGGTGCTAGCAAAGAACACTTTGAGAGATTCATAAAGGGGAGTGGCTATCCACATCTCAGGGTAGGCAAAAGAAAGCAGAAGGATCGATGTGTAAATATAGTTTTAAAAGATCATAAATTAAAATCAGTATTAAGATTAAAAAAAATTTCTTTTTTCTTTATATAAAAGCGAAATAACTATTCACTGGCTTAGTATCTATCCTAAAAAATTCCCCAAACTAAAATGTTTCGGAAGTGCTTTGTGTTAGATATTTAAATGTATTATAGATGGCATATTTTTTTTAAAGAAAAAAAACATAAATTGAAACAATATTAATTGAAAATCATCGTATTTGTGTATATTTGCGATAATAAAAAGCATTAAAGTGTATAAAACCGTTTGAAGAGGCGGATAAATTAAAATTTGAAATATCTTAATTAATTTTTTTTCAAATACGAAAGTAGACCCTTGATGGCTCAGGGAATGGAGCGTTTGCCTTCCAATGAGGTGAACCAGGTTCGAATCCTAGCGATGGCTGGTCGATACGAATTCCGCATCCGGCTTGCACAGACCACAATGTTAGCATGAAATATCTTCAGTGGTAGACAAATCTTGGGTTAGAAGCCCCTTGCCGTCAGGCTACCCGTGGGAGGTTCTCGTGGTCTTCCACTCTATGTAACGCAAATGCTGGTTAGTTCCATCAAAAAGTTTTCCACGAAAGCAAATTTCTCCCTAAATTTGATCGAGGAGTCCCCTTGTTTTCTGGATTGGGTTCAAAATTACAAGGCTACGTAGTTGAACATTAGTAGTCGTAAACCCAGAAATTGGGTCTGCTGTTCAACGACGGGTATAAAATAAAATACGAAAGTAGGAATTACAAAACAAAGTGCTTATTTAAGAGGACGCCTTTACGCGGGAGAAACTTTTAACCACAAATTCCATTTTACCTCCATTACTAATTTAAAGTTATTATAGAATTATTATAGAGTAGAAAAAGTGAGTTTAGTCAGTTTTTATTGTTAAAAAAAGAAAAAAAATTTAAATATCAAAATGTGAACAAATTATTGGAAGCGAACTTCTGCATTGCGTAATCTTAAGTTGGCTTATAATATATTTATTGTTATTTCGAGTATTTTGAAAATTTCTTTTCAATACTTGAAATTTCATGTCTTACTTTAGGTTTGTCTGAACGTACATTATGCTTGTATGTATAAAAGTTGGGCATGATATGTTTAATTACATTTAATCAACTTCTTTTAATCTATACAACAATCGTAGATCATGTTTCTGCTTACAAGCAATCAAAATTTACGATTACAATTGTAATCATGATTATTAGCTATCATAATTTACAAATGCAAGTAATGGTAATTTACGATTAAAAGTAATAATGATCTTTGATTAAAAGTTAGTAAAGTTACATGCAACCTTCATTTCAAGACATCAGGAAATCATCTTTAAAAGTAATTGATTACTTGTAATCAACTACATATTTCCCAACTCTGATGTTTATTAGTTTACTGAAGTTGCCTTCAAAGCATTTCATTATAATAATTTTGGTATAATTATTTTCGAACCAATTATAATTGCATTCCAGTTTTCTCTTTGAATAATGTGTGAATATGAATTTGTAACAATAAATTTCCTTTTAAAGATAAACGTATTACAATTTCTGCATGTTTTAAGGTCAAATCTAAACTTAATTAAACCTGCAGACAGACAGGTCTTTTAATTTAAAGAAAACTTAATCCTCAATTATCTCGAAAAGAGGTCTTTTATAAAATCAGTATAATTTATGTGAAAGCTTATTCAAGGCATGTTATTTAAGCTAGGATTATATTTAAAGCTTTATTTTCTTTGCTCTATTCCCATTTTCATTCCATTCTTAATGTGATTATATACAGCTTTATAAATCTTCAGAATGGATGCTCTTTTTGAGTTCCAATTAGAGCTGATTTATATGTAAAGTGTTGTACATATTATAAATTCATAAAAATTCAATTAAAATTTTTATTCACTTCGATAAAATTTCAAATCTTAGTGAATAAAAATTTTAACATTTGAAATTTTATATATGTAAATATAATTATACTATTGGTTATTTATTGAAATAATCTACTTAATTGCATTTTTAACCATCGTTTTAAAAGATTTATTGTACTATTCGTTTTTTTATGTAAATATTTTAACTACTTCATAGTATTTATAACCTCCATTTTCAAATATTTATGATTGTTCTTGTTTTGTAGGTTGCAATAAAGTATATACTAAAAGTTCTCATCTGAAGGCTCATCAGAGAATTCACACAGGTTTGTATAATCACTTAATCACGTTCCCTATCATAATTTCTTTATTATACATATTGTAACTTATACTATACAATATGGATCAACCTGATACATGTTGTATAATATAAAAAAGCAATATATTATACAACGTGTATCAGGTACTGAATGTTATTTGTTACTGCTCAAATATTACGTAAGCATATTTTTTTTGTGAATTTTGGACTGCCTTTCCTCCTTGTCAGCAAAAATAAGCAAATCACATATGTCCTCCCTTACTTACGTAAAAACGTCGCAACAGCAATCCCGGTTCTTGCTTTAATTTTGACTTTTACTGTAGTATCTAATTTCTGGATTAAATTCAAATGACATTTTGATTCATTTTATAAAATTTTGAGTAGAATGTTCTTTTGGATTCTTTTATAAATTGCTTAAAAATTACAACAACTTTCATTCCAAATCTGAAAATTTTTCATGCATGTTTTTTTTGTTACAATTTCATTTCCTTTTTAAGAAAATTTAAAAATACGGAATTTTAATGTCTAATGTAAGCATTGATCGTACAGATCCCCATTATGAGCAAAAATAAGCATATCATAAACCTCTTCCTCTGTTAGGTGTTTTAAGTAATATTTGTACGGCCCCCTTTTTCAATCATTTTTTTTTTTTTATTTAAGAAAGATTAATTTTGAATGAATTTTGAACACAAAATTTGAATTTCCAGAAGTCTCTAGTTTTGAAAAAGTTTTTCAAAACTAGATTTTTTTTTAAAGCATTTTTTACATTTTTAGAACAGCTATTTCTTCTGAAATATGAAGTGCAATTTATTTGAAACTAAATAAGCTAGAGATTTTGAATTTATATTAGATCTCATTCCAAAATGCATAAAGTTTTTCTAATGATAAATAAAGCTTTTCTTCTGATTTCAAAATGCATCTAGTTTTTCTTCAAAATATTTTGATGAAATATGAAATTTATAGCCAAGTGTTTAAATGCATCCATCGCCAACCTTTTTGCAAAGCTGCTGGTAAAATGAAATTTTTACAAAAAGCTTTTGAAAAAAAATTCATTCATATAATCCCTATTGTTAAACACTATTTCCGCGTATCAAAATGCAACTTAACTAAATTAATAATTCCAAAATGAATATAAAAGCGTGAGAACGATCATAATGTCCTTTAGTCATCTCATAATTCCTTAATTTTTTATTTAATTATAATCTGTAGGATGTATCAAGCTTCCCATATATATACATAACAGATTTTATCACTATATATAAGTATAACAAAAGGCAAGCGAGAATTACTACCATTAAAAATAACTTTCCGCGTATAAATAAATACCGCGTACGAAACGCTTGTCACTTTTAATAAATACGCTTATCGCACTTTACGATAAACACCATACTACACAGGATTTCTTTTCATTAATTCTTTAAAGTCATCCCGAGTTCACCGCGAATCTTTAAAATAGTTTTTTCTTTTAAAATATGAAGTTCATATTATTTTAAAATTAAACAAGTTAGAGATGCTGAATTTATAGGAGATTTCATTCCAAAATGCACGAAGTTTTTCTAATGATTTCCTTCAAATTATTATAATGAAGTAGGAAATTTAAGGTCTAGTGTTTAAATGAATCTCCAATATTTTTGCAAAGTTACTGGCAAAAGAAAACTTTTGCAACAAGTTTTTGAAATTTTTTTTTTCATTCATCTATCACTATTGCTGAGCACTATTTCCGTGTATCGAAATGCAGCTTAACTAAATTAATGATTCCAAAATGAATATAAAAACGTGAGAACGAGTATAATGTCCTTTAGTCATCTTGTAATTCTTTAGATTCTTTTAGAATGTATACAAAGCTTTCCATATATTCAGGACAGATTTTATCATTATATAAAAGTATAACAAAATGTAAGCGAGAATTAATACCGTGAAAAATGACTTTTCACGGACAAAATAAGTACCGCGTACTAAACGCTTGTCACTTTTAATAAATGCACTTAGAGCACTTGACAATAAACACCATACAACACAGGATTTTTTTTTTCATAATTTCTTTAGAGAGATTGCGAGTTCACCGCGAAAACATAGGTGTGTGGGTTACGCCTTCGAATCCTGGCTTACAGTTATCTTTTCTTTTTCACACCCCTCCAATATTTTTCATCACATTTGGAAATCATCTTAATATGTTAATGCGAGTAAAAAATAAATGACCCAGCTTAGAATTAAAGAAAAGCTGAAAAAGTCGCCAAATTGAAGGAGATTTAACCCAACAAATCCTTTTGTCCCTTGGAAGGTTAAAAGAAATTATGTTTTCATATCTTTAAACCGCTTGCAGAAATCTTTTGTCGGTCCCTAAAATTGCCGCAAAATAGGACTTAGCGAGGATTACACTAATCTCGGTAGAAATTCGCGTGCCGCGGGATTTTTTTAACAATTTTTTTTCTCTTTTTCACCGCTATCCACTTTTTGTATATTATTATAGTTAAAAGGATGGGGGACGCATTCGCGTATGAATGTCTGTGCATGTGCGCGTATATATATATCGATAATATGCATGCAAGCCCGAAAGTCTCACGCCTCGATTTTTGGACGCTTTTTATGCTTTTTCCCCTCTTTTAGAGATGCTTTTTCATTCTTTTATGCGCTTTTTTTCTTCTAAAAAAGTAGAGGAGGAGGGGAGTGATAAGATGTCGTTCTACTTCCGAGTTGTCTAAGTCCTTTAAAGATTTCCTTGAAAATGTGACTTTCTAGTGTTTGAGGGGCTCCTGCATACATTACCGAATTTCGCGTGTAGGTCTAGAGACACCTGCAAAATCTTGATGAGATGTATATCGACAAATCTTATCTATTTTGGAGTTTATACTCGTTATAAAAAGAAACATAAAAAAAAATTTTTTTTTTTCTTCTTTGGCTTCATGATGCTTGATATTTTTCATGATGCAAAAAACAAACTACTCTGTGAGTACAGAATTAAGTACTTCAATAAGAAATAAATGTTTTTATATTAACAAAAATAATTAAGAATGATAAATAAATAAACTAATACAAATAAAATTTAAAAAAAAACTATTTTTCTAAAACTTCATTATAATTACATTTATTGCGACCATCATAATGTTGCGTTATTATATAATTATCGCAGTAAAGGTTAGTTCTTTTAATCGATTTAAACGTATGTTGAGGAGTTTTTAATAATATAATGTAGAGATGTTTATAAAACGTAATTGATCGTTTCAAACTCTCTACCATCGAATGGACTTTTAATAAGTGCTACACTGTAAAACCTAACCGTAAAATGTACCGGTACTCAGGATGCCGGTACTTTTTATTGTAAAATCCATTTTCACCAGAATATGTTACGGAACAAAAAATTTGATAAACTGTAATTTTTACAGTATTAATTACCGTAAAATCTCTGAATCATTCGCATTGTATAAATATGATTGAAAAAAATTTTGGTGTAATATTTTACGGTAAAAACGGATTTTACGGTAAAGTGGATTTTGCGGATGATGCACCCTACCGTAATCTGATTCAGAATTTTTTACAGTGTATCCGAAATACATACTAATAGCGTTTGCGAAAATTGCAGGTCAGTAGCAGTGTAGCCACTCTTTGTGAAAGTGAAACACTAATTTTTCTCCGGAACTTTGCCGGTACTGAATTGATTAATTTATAAATAATTTGTTATAAATGAAAATAATTAAAAATAGAAGAAAGTTTTTTATCGAAATAGTATTATCTCAAAATGTTTGTATTATCAAATGAAAATATGTGAAAATATTTCCATTCAAATAATATTTTAAAAATAATCTAATTGTCCTAGTGTGGAATTGCTCTATGGCCTTAGGGTTGTGGTCTGTTATATTTAGTAAACAGATAAATAGCATGTTCTACCATCAAGTATAATTCTTCTTAATGAAAGTAACAATTCAAACAAAATTTAATAAACACACGTGGAATTTCTTCGAATGATTTGTTAACGGTTTTTATACGTCTGAAATCGAAATTTTAGTTTATTTTTATTTATTTATTTATTTTTTTTTTTTTTTTTTCTTGTTTTTTTTTTTTTAANGTCTTAAGAAAAAAAAAAGCGTGAGACAGTTTTTCTTGAAACAATATGTTTAGTTTTTGAGAATAAATAATTGAAAACCAAAATTATTTATCAGAAAAACTTAAAAATAATAATTTTTGCTTTAAATTTAAAAATTATTTCGCCAGAACTTTGAACATACGATTTTAGAACAGCACTTTTCTTAAACTTTTTTTTTAAGCATACAGAAATAATTTTTTTGAAACTCAAAACATGACAGTCATTTTGCTTATATTAAATTAAATTATTAATTTACATATTTTAAAAAACTAATTTGCTTTTTAATTTAAAGAGATTTTATTTCTATATCTCAAAAAAAAAGTGTTGCTTATTTGTTTCATAAAAATTAAAACATATTGTTTTTTCTCTCTTTGTGACATAATTTTTTTTTCAGTATAATTTCTGTGAAGTAATTACCGAATTCACAAAACTATTTTTCTCGATAATAGAACCTTTAGTATAAAGAAAAACTTTCAGAGCATAAGAATAAAAATTATTTTCTTTGTAACTGAAATCTAATAAAGATACTAATTTAATGAAACATAAACTAAGGAAATAAAATGTGACGAAATATGAACTGATTTCTTTAAAATAAACCGTAATAGTTTAAAAAATTTCGTAACATCCATTGTAGACGTTAAGATTAATACAAAAACTGATCTGCGATGAAGAATAAACACTAAGCAAAACACTGATTTGATATCAAAAGCTCTAAACAAATAACATAAACAGTTAACTTATAGAAATTTCTTTGAGATATTGCCATAAAACATTACAGAATGAAAATCCGACCTACTTTTTAAAAGTTATGGGAGTAATCCATTTTTTTAAAGTTCTTTTTCATATATTTTACATGCATACATATATAGGATATACATGTATAGTAAATATAATGCATATATGTTTGCATTAGCAAGTACATTTTATATACATGCGTACAGAAACACGGATAAACATTGTACATAAATTTCTACTAAAAAATTTTTTTTTGCGTTCATACATAGTAAAAATAATGTGCACATAAATAATAGTTATATACATACGTACATATATTTCATACAAACAATATAAGTGTATGTATTGGTATATGCGCAACTAAAATGCACAGTGCACAGAAAAAAACAGTCCACACTAAATAACTTTTGATCGAGCGATCGGATCTTTACGTTCCAAGACTCAATGTAAATGGTCTTATATATATATTATAATAATAATAATAAATTAGCGATTCCCTGTTGAAAATATAGCCACCACCTGTCTCAGTACTTGTTGATAAAAAAAAGTCCTATTGCAATCAAAAGGTGTTCCCTTAAGGGGAAAGCCCCTCCTAATTGACTAGCAATATGAGTATATTTACCAAGTGGAAGGCCCCCTTTCTACATTAGAAGGCTCATTTCCTTTCCTTAAATGACACTTATGGGAATGAAGAATACAAATGATCGGATATATTGTGACCACCACTTTTACGCAGGAGATATTAGAACGGGAGAATGGAAAAATGAAAAGAAAATTCAACAAATTTCTGGCGAACGAAATTCGGTATTGGGAAATGGGGAAAAAGTACTCGCGCCCATGCCTCAAACCCCCAACTTCCTTTTTAGATATATATAAGAGCATCTTTCCTTATACATATCTTTCCCCCCATAAGCAATCAATTGGCCATTAATCTCGAAGTATAAAGCAGTGCATGTCGCCTTTTAGGACAAATAAAAAAAGGGGATCAAACAGGGGAAGAACTAAAAACGATTAATCAGTGGACTCAGGGGTGTCGAGTGAATCTTGTTTTTGGGGAAACCCCCACGAATTTTTTTGAGATACTTTTTCGGTGTTTTCCCGGGGGGTGAGCGATGCTTGGGTTACCTGTTTCGTTCTGGCGAATATTGAGCAAATTAAATGTTCGCCAAGTTATAATTACGCTTAGAGAACATTAAACTTGCGAAAAGTACGATTTTAACTATTAATTCATTTAAAAGTTTTGAAACTCCGAAAAGGGTGTGCTTGCATCTGCACTTAATATTCGGTATTCAGTAGAATAATAACTAAATAGAAGTTTCAAACCCTATAGCATTTTACGAACAAATAAAAAAGTATATTTTTGCGTTTCGTTAACTAATTAAAACATATTCTATATTTATAAATTAATAAAAATTATTTTAGCTTACATTAGCTGATGAAACGTTACTTGTAATTAAAAAAATAAAATTATTAGGAACAGTTGATAATTAAACTAAAATAACTGATTATTTAAGGGCAGATAAATTTTTATTCCTTTTATTTTTATTTAAATTTTTCTTAAGTTATTATTGCAACACTGCATTAATGTAATCATTCTTGTCTATATTTATTTAGATGTAGTAAATAATGTAATATATTTTTGATGAACTATTTAATCAAACTAATTTACTTTTTCGTTTCGTAGATAATATTAATTTGATAAGTTTCAATAACCAGCTAATTTTCTATAAGAGAGCTATGTAAAAAATATTCTTTATCATTTAATATGAAAGTTAATTTTTTTTTCTGTTTTCTGTTACTTTATAAGATTACAATTTATTTTAATATGATTATCATTCTCTGCATAGGTATTAAAAATTCGAACAAATACGGTCTAATAACATATCATGCGTGTCTTAACTAATGAAAATAAATCTAAATTTTATTTGAGTTAACTTTTTGTGACATTAAAGTATTATGATAATCTAACGTACATTTATATAAAACTTGACTACAAGCAAATAACAATTTTGCTGAATGTTATGTAGTTGGGAATCCATAGCAAATATATGTCTGATTTAAAATTTTTAAAAAAATATGTTATCTAGCATCCATTATGAATTGATACTGACTAACAACTTTGAAAAAATATGCAATAGAGAATTTGTCACGAATTGATACTGATTAATTAAGAATTCTGAAAAATATGCAGTTGGACATCCGTCGCTATATGATACTGACTAACAATTAAAAAAAAAATATGCAATAGAGAATTTGTCACGAATTGTTACTGATTAATTAAGAATTCTGAAAAATATGCAGTTGGACATCCGTCGCTATATGATACTGATTAACAATTTAAAAAAAAATATGCAATAGAGAATTTGTCACGAATTGATGCTGATTAATTAAGAATTCTGAAAAATATGCAGTTGGGCATCCGTCACTATATGATGCTGACTAACAATTTAAAAAAAAAAAATATGCAATAGAGAATTTTCACGAATTGATACTGATTTATTAAGAATTCTGAAAAATATGCAGTTGGACATCCGTCGCTATATGATACTGACTAACAATTTAAAAAAAAAATCTGCAATAGAGAATTTGTCACGAATTGATACTGATTTATTAAGAATTCTGAAAAATATGCAATTGGGCATCCGTCGCGATATGATACTGATTAACAATTTTGAAAAATATGTAATAGGGCATATGTTGCAAATTAAAACAGATTTACAATTTTGAGGAATATAATGTAATCTAATATCCAACGTGAGTTGATACTGATTAACAATTTCGAAGAATACCTTGTAATCTAGCATCCAATGTGAATTTAAACTGATTAACAATTTTTGAAGAATATTATGCAATAGAGCATCCATCGCGAATTGTCGCCAAATTTTGAAACCTTCCCGGATGAAATTTTTTGCCACTTTTTAGAGAAGTCAATTCCCCCCCCCCATCTTAAATCCCCTACTTTAAACGTTTGAAATCTAAAAGCTAACTTAGCTTCCTGCCTCGTGTTAGCCTCAAAATATTACCGAAAGGCAAATTCCCAAAGTTTGTTTGAAAATTTGCTTTTCTGTCTGAATGAGGATTTTTTAAAAGGAAAAAAGAACGAGGGGTGAGAAGTTAGTGCAAGAGATTTACTGTCAATCTCTTTACCGTTTTGAGGTCTTTTCCGGTAGACGTAGACTAATAGTCTGTATTATAAATTATTCGTTCCCATGATATTTAAAGTAAATTAGCTCTAATATTTATTTATTTTTTTTTAAAAAAAATTTTGTTTTAAAAAATATGTAACTTATATTTAAGAGTTCGAAAAACATTAATTTTTACTAAGAATTTGGAGAAAAAATTAGAAAAAAAAATTTTTTTTTTCTAAAAAAAGACAGAAAAAAAGATAACCAAAGAAAAATATTTAAGGATTTTAAATAAAAAAGTTACGTGTCCGCCATTTATTATAATTACCTTTGTTCAGTGGATTTTTCATTTTAAAAAGCGCTAACTTTTAAAGTTATTTATAAAACGTTAGAAAAATTACTATATTGATTTATTTAATTTGCCTATTTTTATTTACTTTAATCAATTTGATATTGCAATAAATATAGATTCAATTCACCCAGGCTCCTTAAAATATTTGTGCTTTGTTGGATATAGATTTTCCGTAGTTAAAAGTTTGATTAAACTTTGGCGATTTCTGTACTAATATTCCCAATTATTTGTGTGATAAAAAGCCGAGCGGGGAAGATTCATTCCTATGATTTTTGCTTCTAAATAAGTATTCAATCTATTCTGCAATTTATCTGCAACGTATTTACTATGCAACAAATGTATTTTGATTCATTTAACTCCTCCCTTTCTTAAGTTTCATTTAAGTCCCCCAATTCCAAAGAAATCTAGTCCCCCAAGAAATCTAATTCACGCCGGTCATTTCGTTCTTTTTCGTAAGGGATTGAAATTTCTCATCTATCAAATTCTTGAAAAAATAAAAATTCTGAATAAGAAAAACTGGATAAAAATAATTCGATTTTTATCTAAAGTTATACCTTTAATACCCGAGTATCTCTAATTACACCTAATATGGTAGATTTAAAATATCCAATTAAAAAAAAAACACTGGTAATGACTTTAATAATACTGTAACGTGTTTTAATATTCCAATTTTTTTTTATTTACTTATTTATTATTTTTTTTACATAGATTTTGTCTGAAAAATCTGTGAATGTTATAATCTAGGGTATTGCAGTACCAAAATATGATAAAATTTACCATGTTTCTTTCTCTAAGAAAAGCTTGTTAAATTTTACCAGAAGAGCTTTGGCTATGATTCCGGAAAAATTCGGATAAAATATGGTTTTATAATATCTGATAAAATTTCGGTAAACGTGGAAAATGTAATAATTTCATCTTGTTAACTAAGAGCATGGCATAAAATCCATTTATTCGGTTAAATTTACTTTTCAGTTTTGGATTTTTTACTAAATAAGAACTATAATTTTGAAAACCAAAATTTCCGGTACAGTTACCATACAAGCGAAAAAATTATAAAATGAATGGTTTGAATACCGTATATTTTGGTTTTTAATACTAGAAATGTCATTACCTTACAATATGGTGATTTAACCAAAAATTCTTTTCTCCGTGCACGTATAATTTAATTTTCTTTAGTTAAAATACTGTTAAAGCCGTAAAATAATCTACTTTTTCTTTTTAGGTGAAAAACCTTACCAGTGTCAGTGGGCTGAATGTGATTGGAGGTTTGCACGATCAGATGAACTAACTCGGCATACGCGCAAGCATACTGGGGACAAGCCTTTTAAATGTCAGGTTTGCGAGCGTGCTTTTGCACGTTCCGACCATCTCGCCTTGCACATGAAGCGCCATCAGCCGAAACTAAACCGGCCATCCACTACAGCTTGATGGGGAAAACTGCTGGTTGTAAATCGGTTTTAGAAGTGATCACACGTTAGAAATTTGTCGCATTAGCAGATCATTGGTGATTTGTAGTGGAAACTTTCCGGGTGATGTAAGACAATTTTCATCTTTTTTTTTACTAGATTTTGAAACGTTCATCTTGACTATATTTTCTGCTCTACTTTTGATTCTACGCTCCATTAGTAGAAATAAATACAAGAAATGAACTAGCTTACAGTGTTTCACCGTCCGTGTTTACGAACTCTTGCTGGAAAGTTATTTTACCGAATTCAGTCAGCATTTGTTTTTCAAGTAATAACTTAAAATGAATCATTTTAAGCCAAGGTTGTGTTTTTTTTTAAAAATTAAATGAAACTGTTCTGTGTTGTTATTGTTAATTTTGCTATTTGGTTATGAATATTGTATGACGAACATTATTGTTCTTGAAGTGATAACCACCGCAATATGGTGCTCAAAAGTTAGTTTGAGACAATACCCATACATTGTGATTTATGGACAATGATTTGGTAATCTTTGATAACTTTAAGTAATGTATATTTGTCAAATCATGTTCCAGATTTTGTAATTTTATCAGCATCTGAAGGGTAGATATTATTTTTAGGAAAATTGAATGTTTCACTGTACATTTACCAAAATTCCGATGAATTTTTGTAAGTAGTTATAGCTTGAGTTAATCTTAAATTAGCAATTGTATTTTTTTCTCCTCAAAAGCACAAATTTTATTTCCTATTTTGAAGCACTTTCACAGTTTTGTGCTTCTGAATAAAGCATATCAAGCTGTTCATTTTGAATGGCTTCATGCAGATTTGCAACATAAAGTCTAAAATTCTGGATGTCCACGTGCAGCATTTGTTTAAAATTGTATCATCATACTCATTATTTGTATTTATACCATTACTTTCTTTTTAATAGCAAAGATCTCATTCTTAGTCTTGATATGAGATAGACGAAAATTATTAATTAGATTTTAGAAAAAGTTACGGATTGAACACGATTTTTTTAAATCAAGTATTTTACAAAAATATTGATATTTATTTTTAACTGTATAATAATAATTTTTACATTTTCATTTCGAATTTTAAATCTGTTGTTACATTTTATAATGATTTGAAGAATTATTATTTATTTTTATAAATAAAGTTTGCGGAAATTGCCCAGAAGCAGTGTCATTTTAGTGTTTTTAAAATTTTTAGTGGAGAATAAGGCAGGCTGGGGTGCATTTGACAAAATTATTTCTTAAAATTTTATTTTTACTCGTACAATAATTTGAAACGTTTTAGCAAACTTAAATAAAAACTTTATTGTGAATATTGAAAAGCTAATTTCAAAAATCTTTAAATTTTACTGAACTTTTAAGAGCATGTGACCCCTCTTTATCCCCTATGGGTATGCCTTAAAAGGGCATATTTAATGTGCCTTAAGCGGGCATATTTTTTAAAAAAAACTTTAAACAAGTACATAATATATATAAATGAGAAAAAAAAAGGAATTTTAATGCACATCTAAAAGGTGAAACATTAATATTTCAAATATCAACATTGAAATTATGAAATTTAATATTTATTTTAGTTTTGCCCAAACAATTTAAACTTTTTTTAATTTCATATTTTGTAAAAAATAATTCAAGAATGAATTACTATCATCGAATAAATAACTATTCTTGAAAAAATATTTTAAATTTATTTGTTAATTTTGTCTTTATTTAAAAAAAAATGAAAATTGCAAAAAAATTTGTTGTGAAAAAAAGTTAAGGCTTGAATATTTAGAGCTAGTAGACTCGTTGTAAAAATTGCACAGCTAATATCACGTAGTTTGTATTGCATTTTTTAAATTTATGTTTGCAAATTAATATTTTATTAGTTTTTAATAATAAATAATGTACATAAGTTTTAAAAACTTTGAAATTGTTTAATCTGTCAAACCACTTTCAAAATTTTTTGTAAGCTTCATGTAGCAATTTCGTTAAATTGCACTTGGATGTCTTTCACAATGTATAATTTATATTGTGCCTTATTTTTTCATTCGTAATTTTTATTAATAGTGCCTTATATATAAATACTTACACAAGTGTCTGGTTGTGAAATTTATGATGCAGTTATGGAACATTATAAGTTGTATTTACATTGAAAGCTCTTAGAGCAAAGTTACTGCATTGTTATGAGTTTCTCAAGTGCCATTAAATATATTATAACAATATGTGGATTGTGATTTTTTGTGAGTAAAATAGTTGCTTATTTTATTGTAAACAAATTCAGTTTAACAAATGCATCCGAACGATTCCGTTAAAAAAATTCAGTTTAATGAACACATCCAAACGATTCCATTTCAACGAATTTGATTTAATGAAAGTACATAAACGATTTCATTGTAACAAATTCAAATAAATAAAAATATCCAAACGATTCCTTTTTAACAGATTTAATTTATTGAACGTAAACAAACGATTCCTTTGTAACGAATTCAGTTTAATAAACATATCAAAATGATTGCGTTATACGGGAATGCGTAATTTGGATTTAAGTTTCAATTTATATTGCTTTGATAAACTTAAAAAAAATTTCACGAAAGAAGAAAGAAAAATACATCCAAGTTAGTGGTATACATAAAATGTTGACATTAGAACTCAAACAAAGGGAATGAATATACACTGAAAAAAATGTAGTTAAAGCTTAAAATAACGGAGCGAGATTCTCGGTTCTCAAATTAAAATTTTTTACCGTCAAATTTCTTTGATTATTATTTTACGAAATAGAAAAAAGAAAAGAAAAAAAACGAACTTTTTACATCAAAGCTTGTAATTACAAATACAACAACAATTTCAAAATCTTTTAAGAGACGTGATTTTGTTACAGTAAAAATCACTGACAAATAATCACTGACAAATTTGTTCACTGACAAATAATCTTGTTTTAAAGGAAAATGAATCTTAAAAATCAATATATGTATTAATGCTTAAGCATTAAGGGAAAATTGGTAACAAAATTTTAATTGCTGCACTGCAAAAAAAAAAAAAACCCGAAACATTTCTGAATATATGGGGAAGCTACGGTGCATGTAATTGTCTAAAACATTTCTGGATATTTCGTAAACCTCTTTCTGAAAATTCAGAAACATTTCGCAGTATTTCAGAAATATTTCGAATCATTTTCATGCAGTCTCGGAATTTTTTTCCCTTCATATTTTGAAGCGCTTCTTAATATTTCGGAAAACTCTTACAGGGCTAAGCTACTAATAATGTCTACCGCCATCTATCTTAGGGTACCTCAAGGCTGAGTTGAGTTAACATGCCTTATATACTAGTGAATTGGAATTTAATAGTTGTAGTGGTAGCTACGCTACACTTTGAAACTAAATGGACGTCAATGCGATTCAGTTTCCTACTTTTGAAAATAATTGAAATGATTCTCAATTGGTTGGAAACATAATATCGCTCATTTGGTGAAACAATGACGTAACTGCAAAATCATGTTACGTCATTGTTTCACCAAATGAGCGATATATAGAACACTCTATTCCCGTTAAAATATCAAAAGAGATGTTAAAAAAATAATAAAAAATAAAATAAATACAAAATTAATCCGAATTTATACTTTTTTTGGCCAGTGGTCACTGTTTTTCAAAGGAAAAATAATATTTCTTATATCGCTCATTTGGTGAAACAATGACGTAACTTGATTTTGCAGTTACGTCATTGTTTCACCAAATGTGCGATATTAAAATGAAGTTCTCTGAGATTTTCGGAAATATTTTTGTCGAGTGGAGTTTTACAGTGTATGCGTGGACGTTTATCAGAAATGTAAATTACCCGGAAAATAATATGGTAGTAAAATCATCTCATTTTTACATTATTTTAAGGAAGAGACTTCTATGAATTATAAACTGTAATAACATATATTTACTAGCAGGAAATTTCGCAAAAAGTTATTATCAAGACATTTTTCTCTCGAACAAAAATAAAAATGAAATTGTATTACTACTAAATGTTTCTATTTTCTGGGTAAGTATCAGCCCTGTTTTACATCTCAGAATTTGTGATCTTGTCGAAATAGAAGAATTAAGTGCATGGATACATAGAGAATATTACACAGAGAAAAAAAATATGGTTAAATTACCGTACTGTAATGACATTTCTGATAAAAACAAACAAACAATATTTTGGTTAATAAAAACTAAATGTACGGCATTTAAATAGTTTATTTGATAAGTTTTCATACGGTAACAGTTTTCCAAAAATTCTACATTATTAATTAGTTTTGGTCATACTTTTTTCTTACTTTTTCTCTTTAGATTGCTTTAAACTGAAATAGATTCTAAAAGCAATCGAATTAACTACTTAATAATTAAACAATCCAAAAAAGTTTTTTGATCTCTATTATTCGAAAAAATAAGAGTTCGACCTCAAAGTGTGTGGCAACATTTTAAATAACGACCTATGGAGAATCTTTCTATAAGTTAAAAAATGTTAGTTTCATGGTAAAAATTTGTGTTACAGATACTTGAGTGACTATTCCATTTCAATCACTTTTTCTCAATCAACCTTAGATTGCTATTTTTTGGAAAAAGTTACCATTCTAACTCAAAGTGTATAGCACTTTTTTAAAGGACAACACCCGTAAAATCTCGCACTTTCTAAAGATATAGGCTCAATATATAGCGTCAATATATAGATATAGCGTTAAAACTTAAAAAACAGCTTTTTTTCCTTTTTTTTCCCCTTAAGAAAATTTTTTGACTACCATTAATTGAAGCCTAAAAGCGAGTGCATAGAATCATTTGAAGAATGGAACGCGTAGAAAATATTTATGTTTTAAAATTTAAAGTTTTGTGAAGTAAATGTCAGAACTCAATTTCTAAAAATTTCACCATTCCGTTGAAATTCAGTCACTATTTCGTTAAACATTAATAAATAAATTACTCAATCAATATTCGATTGTCATTTTTGGTGAAATGAACAACGCAAACTCAAAATGTATGAAAAATTTAGAAATTAGTTTCTGAAGTGACTCTTGTAATGTTGAAACGCGTTTTGATGAAAGCAACTTTATATTTGAATGCCACTTTCGATTAAGGAGTGATACTCTTTTAAAATATTCATGTCTTAAAATTACAAACTTTGTAGTGCAAATTTGAGAAGTCAATTTCTAAAGCTGTCCTGCTATCATTACAAATTAAGTCTCTGTTTAGTGAAAAATTAAAAAAACTTGACGTATGATTTCCATTTTTTGATTAAAGTTAAAACGGAAAAAATCAGAGTGTATGGCAATATCTTAAAAAATGACACACGTAATTAAAGTAAAGGTAGTTAGAAAAAGGTATTATCAGTAGTTAGAAAAGGACAACACATTGAATAGTTTTATTACTGAACATCTTTTTTTTTTTTTTTTTTTTTTTTTTTTTTTTNACTTTTTTTTTTTTTTTTTGGAAAAAGGTACAACTGTATTGCAAAAAGCTTAGAACTTCTAAGCTTAAAGCTTAGGAAAAAAAACTCTACTTTTGATTTCTATTTTTGGTTAAAGTTAACACTCAAACCCGTAATGTATTACAACATTTTAGAATACTACTTTTGCAGAAATTATTTATGCTCAAAAAATAAGGGTTTCATGGTGCAAAATTTTGATTTTAGAGAACAGTTTCGCTTGTGTTTCGTGTACTAAATAAACTTTTCATGACAGAATATTATTTCACATCTTCCAAAAAGGAAAAAAAAAAGTGGGGGTTAGGAACGTTCTTCTCATTCTGTCTACGTTTGGAGAGAATAGTGCTTGATGACGTTTAGCATTTCTACGGATTTTTCTCCAAAAAATAAACTACAGAAATCATGCTTCAAGTAACCATGAATAAGTAACTCATTTCTGTAGATTTGTCTGTGTTTATATTTTTAAAAATTTACTCTTTTGGTTTAAACTCAATTAAACCGATTTGCATGAAGCTGAAAAATTCTTTAAACTTTACTTACTCAAAAA